GTGGCGGCCGTGCGGAGCCGACCCCGCCGCCCCCCCGCCCGCCTTAACCCTTCGGTCGCCGCCCGGCGCCGTTACCGGGGAAACCCCCGGGGACTCGCAGCCATCCCGGGCGGGGGGAGGGGAGCGACACGTTCCCACCGACCCACCCGGGGCGGGCCGGGGGGCGGCCGGGACCCCCCCGAACCGGACCCGGGACCGGGACCCGCACCCGGACCGGCACGGCCCGGGACCCGCACGCACCGCATCCCTCGCAGGCCTGCGCCCGCGCCCCACGGTGGAACTGCCCCATGGCGGCACAGCCCCATAGCAGCACAGCCCCACGGCAGCATGGCCCCATGGCCCCCAGCCCCATAGCAGCACAGCCCCACGGCAGCATGGCCCCATGGCACCCAGCCCCATAGCAGCACAGCCCCACGGCAGCATGGCCCCACAGCAGGACAGCCCCATGGCAGTAAACCCTATGGCTGTGAAGACCCATAGCAGCACAGCCCCACAGCTGCACAGCCCCACAGTAATATGGCCCCACAGCCCCACAGAGGCACACCCCCACGGTGACACAACCCCATGGCTGCACAGCCCCACAGCGACACAGCCCCTCTGGGGGGCACTGACCCCTACCCCAGCTCTGACCCCCAGGTCCCGGTGCTGCCGGCCGCAGCTGCGGTGGGCTGTCACGGTCCCGGGGGGGACACAGCCCTGCCCCCCGGCTGCTGGTGGGTGCTGGGGGCCCTTGGCCGGGCAGGGATGGGGCAGTGTGGGGCAAAGCCCACCACCCCCCACCCCCCTGAGCCGGGGTCCTCCAGGCCTGGAGCTCTGGGACACTCCCCGGGCCACAGGAGGGGCAAGGGTTGGGGGGCAAGAGGCTCCTGAGGTGCCTGGGGGGCTGTTCCCACCCAGGGTGGATGTGGTGAGACCCCCATCCTCCGCCAGCCCCGGCACAGCGGCCCCATGGCCAGCGGGAGGCCCTGGGGGATGGGGGTCCTGCCCCACACAAAGGAGCGGGTGCCCCTCGGCGGGAGCGTGGCTGATGGATGGGGCTCCCTGGGGGTCTCTGCTGAAAGCCGAGGGGCCGGGGGCTTTGTCTGCTCGGCTGCCCAGACGCTGCGGGGAATTAGCATATCTCCTGCGGCACCGCATCATCCTCATCATCATCCTCATCATCACCCTCCTCATCCTCCTCCCCGCTCGGCGCCGGCGCTGCCCCACGGAGCTCAGCACCGCCACTGGGTGACTCCCAGCCCCCCGGGGTGCCCTGGGCATCCCCCCCGGGACCGGGGCCCTCCCGGTGGCCTTTGTGCCCCACCGAGCACCACAAACTGGGGCTGGCCTGGGGGGCTGCCCCCCTCCCCTGCCGCCCCCAGCCCCACGGCTGGGTCCAACACCCCCCCCAGCACCCTCCGCTCTGCCCCACGAGCGCTGGGACCCCTGGGCTCAGCCGCCGCGCTGCTGATGGGCTCCCCATGGCACCCGGCGTGGGGCAGGGGGCACGGAGCCGGCTCCTTCGGCTCGGCCGGGGGGGGGGGGGGGGGGCGGGCGCGCGACGGAGGGGTCTCCCACCTCAGCGACACAGGCCCAGCCGGAAACCGGAAGCCCGCGACAACCAATCAGGCGCGGAGGGGGCGTGTCTAGGAGGCCCGCGGGGATTTAAAGGCAGCCGGCGCAGGCTCGTGGCGGCAGTTTTTTTAATGAAAATTATTAGCGTTAATTTTCTTCATAGTTGCTAATATGGGGCTGTTTCAGATTTGTGCTGAGAACAGTGTTGATAATGGATGTTTTCGTTACTGCTGAGCAGCGCTTACGTGGAGTTAAGGCTCCTTTTCTGCTCCTCCTCGCGCCGCCCCACCAGTGGGTTGGCTGGGGGCGCACAAACAGCCGGGAGGGGACACAGCCAGGACAGTGTCCCCAGCTCATCAAAGGGACGCTCCACACCATGTGACATCATGCTTGTGAGACCCCACCCGGAGTACTGTGTATAGCTTTGGAGTCCTCAACACAGGAAGGACATGGACCAGCTGGAACAGGTGCAGCGGAGGGTCACGAAGATGATCAGAGGGATGGAGCACCTCTCGGGTTTGGCCGGGGCCCGGGCTTTGTCTGCGCCGCGGCCGCCATGAATGGCCCTTTCAGTTTGTGCCGTCATGTGTGCGGCGGGAGCCCGGGTGCCGGCCGGGGCCCCAGCCGGGGGGGGCAGGGGGGCAGCCCTCGCCCTGGGCGCTCCCGGGGGGGTGGGAGCCACGGCCAGTGCCATTTTGGGGGGGAGGAGGATGGGTGAGAGACCCCCGGGGCCAGGCTGGGGGGGCAAGAAGGGGGCACACAAGGTCTGGGTAGTGGGGACGGTGTGGCACATGCCCGGGCAGGGGGACAGGCTTCGGGTGGCTGCACACCCCTCGCCTGGGCACGGAGACACGTGTACACGCACCTTGCACGGCTGCATGCACCTTGCACGGCTGCACACCCCTCGCCTGGGCACGGAGATACGTGTGCACGCACCTTGCACGGCTGCACACCCCTTGCATGGCTGCACAGCCCTCAGCTGGGCATGGAGACACATGTGCACACACCTTGCACAGCTGCACACACCCCATGCCTGGGCAGGGGGACACGGCTGCATGCATATCCCTTGCACGACTGCACACACCTTGTGTGGCTGCACACCCCTCACAAGTGTCTCATGGAGACACAGGTGCACACACCTTGCACGGCCACACACCCCTCACCTGGGCACAGAGACACACGTGCACACCCCTTGCACGGCTGCAAACCCCGTGCAGGGCTGCCCCGTGGTGCCCAGAGCAAAGGGCGACCCTGCCGTGGGGGGGCTCCGAGGCACCGATGCCCCCAGCCCCGGCCGGGCCACGGGCACAGCCGGCTCCGAGCCCACAATGGTGGCATCGGCGGTCACCGCCAGGCTGGGGCGCAGGAACCGGGTGGCCATGGTTGCGACCGACGGGTGTCCCGGCTGGCCGTGGCCAGGACCATCCTGCCTTTCGGTGGCCAGGACCTGGCCGGGCCGGGTGGAGCCGTGGGGTGGCCCCGCCGGCGGCAGCGCCGGGTGCCAGCGTTACCTGGGGGGCAGCGCCGGGCTCCGGCGGGACTGGCAACCTCTTCTCCAGGGCGTCCAGCCACTGCCGCAGCGCCTGCAGCTGCTCCTGCACCGCCGGCCTCCGCCCGCTGCCGAGAGAGTGGGGGGACACGGGGCTGCGGGGGGGCATGGCCACCATCCCCCCGCCCGGACCCCGGCCCAGCACCCCCTCGGCTGCCCCGGCGTGGGAGGAGGGGACAGTCCCCGGGGTCCCGGCACCCACCGCGGGGGAGGGC